AATTCACCTCGGCGCCATGCTCGAGCAGCACACGCATCGTTTCCGGTTGATTGCCAAATGCAGCATAATGCAAAGCTGAATCGCCCTCCTTGTCAACCACATTCACATTGGCGCCCTTGGAGATGAGGTAGGTCACCAGCTCGACGTAGCCCTGATGTGAGGCAACCTGTATGCAAGCCTTGCCGCCGCTCATAACATCCACCTGACTAGGATTCAAATCCAGGTATTGCTTCACAAAATCTAAATGACCCTGTGCCGCCTCACGCACTAGCTTATCGGGCACCGAACTGCCAGAGAGACCAGAGAGCGGTGTCATCACATGATCCGTACGGCGATGGCTCAGATCCATCATGCTATTGGAACGTTCCGCTGCCGTTGCCAATGGCGAACGCTCCAGTTTGACACATTTGGGATTCAGTGTCCACTCGAAGCCATCGTCCAGCTGCTGTATGCGCAGATCACCATCCGAGTACACCTTAACCACTTTACAAAGTTTGCCCAGAGCCTAAAACGAAGCATATTAATTAGTTGACTTGCAATATAATCGAATTTATTCCCATTTAGGAACTTACGTAGCGCATGATATCAATCCATTCGCCGTGTCCCTTTTGCAGCTGCTGTACTTTTTGTGCATCATTTATAATTGTCACCAAATCGCCCACGCGAAACGATACAACCTTGACGAGGGCGGCGGGATGAAAGGTCCAGCGATTGGGACAGTTTTCATATTGGACTCTGTAATTGGAAAAGTTTAATGAAACGTTAAAAAAATTCTTAAAATGGTCGGATGCAGACGTGACTTGAATGAATTTTTATACGATTTTTCTAGCTTTGTAGACTTTGATATGAGCTGCGCGTTCATCATCAATCATTCAATCAGTCAGTCAGTCAGTCAGTCAGTCAGTCAGTATTATTTAGATGCTTGCTATGCTCACCGTATGTCTCCCTTTTCGGTGATGCGATGAACTGTGCCCAGTTTGACCAAATGCTCGACCATGCGCGGATTCCAGCCACCATGTCCCTGTTGTAGCTTCATCAGTGCATCTACCTCGAGGCAAACCTTGACCCGGTCGCCCACAGAGAAGCTGGGCTTGACCATGGCCACGATTGGCTGCTGTTCCTCGGTTTGGCCTAGCACTGGCATGTGGTCCTTATAGTAATGTCCACCGCAAGTTGCCGCTATATATTTCAGATCGACGTTGCCCTTGTGGCCGAGTCGATAGACGTTGGTAGAACCGGTTACCCACGAGACGTTTGCTACACTGCGACAAGATTCGTTGTCCCAGCCGCGTATTTCCATAACACGCCCGGTTTTTCCCTCACCGCCGTCCTGATTGTTCCACTCCCAGTCTGGACCGCGCACAACCCTCGCTCCCACAAAGATGCCGCGTAATTGTATGCGCTCTGAGCCTTTACGCGCCGGTACGCGTACTCCCAAAGATGTGGGCGTTGTATAACGCACAAACGTATGCTCCAAATCGTGCTCATTCGCGCCGTAGCAGAAGGCGCACAGATGATAATTGGTGCACTGGGCACACTTGAAGACAATGCCAGCTATGCCCGCCTTTGAGCAGCCATCACACACGACATTCGAATGACGAACACCTGGAAAAGTCGAGGGAGGAAGAATTGTTTAGATTAAATCTAGTTTTATAGTTCGATCGTATCGGTGGATTTATAATCGATTGAACAACTATTCAAAAATTTCCTTTCCAAAAACCTTAATTAGTTTTACTTACCAACTTGTGCATTATCCACAATGATCAGATCGTATTGATTTTGATAACCCACTCTGTAGTTGGTGCGATGTCCCGAATCCCAATTGACCACAACCGTGTTCTCCGGTGAATGTGTGGATCCACAGCGTCCGATTTCACAAACGGTGCCAACGTGTCCTTCTCCGTCGTCTGTTGGTTAGAAAATAAAAATCAATTGAAATGGATTTTGTAATGGAGCTCAGTTTCTTAAATTTTTCACAGCTTCCTTCCCCCTAGTTTCCGTTTGCCCGACAGCTCAAGAGCTATTTATAAATTAAGACGCTTCACACCCCACAAGAAAACGCGCTACCAAGGAAATGTTTCATCCGGCGCGAATACCACAGCGACTCGCAGCTCTTGGCTCATGCCAAACATCTACCCCAGCAAACAGCGCGAGAGTTGTATAGGAATTTCAGTTGGATACAGATACGGCGTCTGCAGCTGCACTCTATATTTAAATATGCCGCTGCGCAACTTCCCAGCACCCCCATCCATTTGGCCTGTCAGTTAATAGGCAGTCGTTTGATTTATTTTTGACATTAACATTGTGTTGGGGCAGGACTGTAAATGTTAACATAGACAATGTTAAAGTTGCGCTGTTAATGATTATTTATGCTTTTTGTGCCCGACCATCGCTAGAAATTGTTAAAACGTAGTAACAGGCTGCGAATGAAACTTCGACCCAATAAATTATATATAATTTTAAACAAAAACAACAGCTTAGTTTGTCTGACTGTTACTTTGAACGCATGGATCTCAGAATCTATAAAAGCCAGACACATCAATTAACAGATCAGTACCAGATGCATCCCTTTTAACGGTAAATAATACGACTGAATATTTGGTAAGTAGGACAAGAATAATTCACTTTGTGGAAACGTTGCCAAGCCACCGTTTTTAATTGTTATTTGGTTGCCTTGTGACAACAAGAATTATTATATAAGAGGTTAAGCAGCATTTTTTTAATGTAATACCAACTGAACACAAGGTAATTTTAATATCAATAGCTTATTTACGTAAACCAAAAATCAAAAGTGTATGAAAGTATTTAACATAACCTACAAATGTTAGTTAAAAGCTTATAATAAACCATCAATGTTAGCAGCAACAACAGCCCATTAAACAGCTGGGAATATTGGTCTTGCTGTTCATTCTCTTCAAAACAACTGTTTAGCTAATAATTAAGGTTTAAATACTATTTATATAACTTTATTTCTCCCCAGTGCCGTGCTGCAGCTGCAAGTCTGGCCAGCCCCCCTGCTCCATGTCTAAAAATACAAGATATTCAAATGGCACGCGCCCCAACAGGCGACGACGGCGACGACAGCCAGCGCTGCACTTCTTTTATGACAGCGGAGTAAAAGAAAATATGTGGAAAGAGTCACATGGATGTATGTGTGTGCACTCTCCTGTCCCCACCTTCTACCTCTCCTACCACTAGCCCCCACCACATGTTGTGTATTATGTGCGTTTAAAGCGGCAGCGCCAAATGCAGAGACATTTGGGAAACATTCCGCTGTGAGTGCGGCTAAAAATAGCGCCCCGTCCTCTTTACACTCACTGCCAGCAATCAAAGTGCTGATCGTTTATTGTGTGTAAATAGGTACACACACACACACACAAAGACACCCATTCATTTATACATATTATAAACAAATTGTTTTAGCTAGTCAATGCCTGAAATGGGTAAACAAAATAAAATCCTACCTTGATTCGACCAAATCCAATTTGGGCCGCGTACAACACGTACGCCGGGCGGAATGGAGGCGCGCATTCCAGTATTTAATTGTTGCGTTTCAGTCGCCTGAAAAAAAATAAGTATATAATATATGCTAAATTATTGATAAATTATGATAACATTTCGAATTTGTGTCAAATACGTTGCTGAATTGTGGGGGGGAGCATCGAATATATTTGGGTCAAACGACAAAACCAGCGCATGTCTAACTGGAAATATATGTACATACGTATGTATGTTTATGTATTTCAAGATGACGCGGGCTCCCTTCTTTTTTGCAGCACCTTGAATGGCACAAAGGCAATGCAGGTAGCGCGAGTTACACATTAAGTGCCTAAATGTTATTAGTATTTAAGTACATATTGAGTGTTTTTCACAATACATACTACGTTTCATAGTATTTAAAGTATTTTTAAGTAATTATCTAAGCTGGACAGTTTACTTTGGCAGCAAATTGCAAAGTTCAAGACAAATGCAGGTAGTCCAAGCTTCACCTCAATTTAGTACATAAATACTATTACTTAATACGTGACGACTTTCATAGAATTTTAACTAATGTTGAAAAGCTGGGGGGCAAATCTGTGTTAGATAAACTATAAGGGCTATCAAATATTTTAAACTTGTATTCCAAACGCCAAATGACTAGCATTTGGGGTGCAAAAAACGCACTCTTTATTGGATAGAAATATGAATCAGAATAAATAATGATTAAGCATGGAAGTGTAAAAACAGTTGTCCTCACACTATCTGAGGCAGCTGCATTTGCAGGAGTCGCCCAGCAAAACTAAGAAATTGAAGTGACGCATGAGATAAGGCATATGGATACATATGCATACCCTATATACATATCAACATATCTACACCCACATGTATATAGATTCAAATATATACATATATATATTGGGGAAATGTACAAATTCCATCCAACGATTACGCATATTTTCCGCACTTCAACATCACACAACAACTAATTATTTCGAAATTATAACAATTTGTTTGTTATTTGTTGTGATGGGGACACACGACTTACCAATGCAATTTTTCGTTTCCGTCAAATGTACAATAGTGTGTGTGTGTGTGTGGAAGTATCGTATGTAATTTATACACTTTAATTCCAGCAATATGTTTACACTTGAATTCTTGAGTCTAGCAATGCATTTTTGTGTGCGTGAACTTCTTTCTCCCACTGGCACTTATAAATTTTTTACATTTATTGTTTTATAATATACACAAAATCCGAATCAAATACAATCTATCGCACAACCAGGCATTATGTGTAGTTTTATATATTAAATTTAACTTTATAATTTAGTTCACCCCGTTATCGTGGTTACCCTGCAACGCAGTAAGCATGTTAATTTATTTGTATTAACCAGAATGGTACTTTTTAAGTTAATTCTACTTTAATTTTATGAATGTAAAACAGTGTGGTTGCAAATTGCAATGAAAGTAAAGTGTAGATATTGCAAAAATTGTTTTCGAAAAATACTAACAGCACATGCTCCTCACTTGACGTGCGACTCCACACTGAACGAGTGTGTTGCTCTGGCAACAGGCATAAACACAAAACAGCTGTTTTACACACATGAAAACGGTCACACTCCAAGCCGGCTGCAGCGCAAGTTTGTTGTGCTTTTCTAAATTTGTTACAATATTTGAATTTTATTAATGAATGCTGCATATATACAAAAACTGTTTTAGAGCCATGACTAGTAAAAACTTCAGCGGTAAGACAACTTTGTCAAGCAGACTGGCTAAACAGATTAAAGTAACAAAACCAAAAGCCACAACTGCCAAACAAGAACTGTGGGTGAGTATATGTTAAAATAAGCTTAAAATTAACCTTCAATTTTCATTTACACATTCAGGATATTGAGGATTTGCCCAGCATTGCTGCTACAAGTGCGCCACGCTACTTTTCACCTGTGCAAACACGCAAGCAGCGACAAGTGAATAACTTGCCCAAATCAAATTTGCCCGCCAAAAAAGCGCGCCAGGATGAAGTTTCAAAAACCTCAAAAATTCAAATAGGAACAGCGACTATAATAAAATGTGAAGTGGTGCCGCCTAACGAGACCCTGTTGGAACTGAAAGAAGAGGAAGCTGCTGCCGTTAAGACTGAGCAGGATTTTCCAAATGCCAACTGGTTGCAGCATCTGGAAAACATTCGCTTGATGCGCTGCAAAAAGCCGGCGCCTGTGGATACTCTGGGCTGTCATCAGTGTGCCGATGAAAATGCCAATGAAAAGGTGAATGCAGAGTGGCTAAATTAGGTTAACAATATATTAACAATTATCTAAATTAACAGACGCAACGTTTCCACAAATTGGTTGCTCTGATGCTGTCCAGTCAGACCAAAGATGAAACTACTTTTGAAGCCATGAAACGTTTGAAGGCGCAAACTTTAACACCTGCCAGCATACAGGGTATGCCAGCGGGGGATCTGGAGCGCTTGCTGCATCCTGTTAGCTTCTATAAAGTTTGTACAAAACATAGCTTGAAAGTCAGATATGTGAAATGGTATTCTCTTCATTTCAGAACAAAGCCAAGTACCTGAAGCAAACCTCGCAAATACTCATGGACAAGTACAACGAGGATATTCCGGATAATATACAGGAGCTGTTGAAGCTACCGGGAGTTGGTCCCAAAATGGCGCACATTTGCATGGCCACGGCTTGGAACAAAATCACCGGCATTGGCGTCGATACGCATGTGCATCGCATTGCCAATCGCTTGGCTTGGCTAAAGAAATCCACCAAGGAGCCGGAACAAACGCGCGTGCAGCTAGAGAGCTGGTTGCCGCGTCCGCTTTGGGCTGAAGTTAATCATTTACTTGTGGGCTTCGGACAGACTATTTGTACGCCGGTTAAGCCTAATTGCTCCGAGTGCCTCAATAGGCATATCTGCCCGGCTTCGGCATCTGTGTTGGCCAAGAAAAAGTGAGCAAACTTTTTTTCTTTAACAATATTATGTTCATTCTCACTTATAACTTAAGTTGAAAACTTGCCCTATCAAGTATGAAAACTAATTTAATTGAAAAGTAAACTAAGGCTTCATGTGTATCGTGAAATTCAATTTATATAGATTTGAAGTATTAAATGTCAAGCTGGAAATTAAAACAACATATGCCATTTATAATCAGTTTATCCTGATTGACTGCTGGGTAGGGACTCGGACATGGACTTCGTCTGTAGTTTTCTTGTAGCTTTCAGACTGATCTTATATAAGATAGTTGCTGGTTCGAATCTCGAAAATAAAAACAATTTGATATTGCAATAAAAAATTGAAATTTGTTGTATTAGTCTTAGTTTAAGTAAAACAAATAAGTTAACAAATCCAAAGCTATGGGAGCTATAACAACTAAACTTGGCTTCCTATCAGCAGCTGTAGTTATAATAGAGAACATCTTTACACAATTCGTGTTCAAAACGAAAAGTCAAAGTTGAAAACAAACATGATATGCATATAATATATATGCACATCGAAGCTATATGTACATATGTACATATAGATGGGAAAAGTTGCGGCACGATTGACATGTACGCCACATTTGAATTCCAATACGCGGTCAATGTTCGACGCTGCCAGATCCTGTTGCCTGACACCGCCATTATCTCGCCTTTTGTGTATTGATCTCATGGCGTGAAAGTATTATTCAATAAATTGCTCTTCATTTCAACTTGGGCACATGAATTATGTGCACAAACAGAAACAGCAGCAACAGCAGCGACGGGAGCAACAAGGAACCGGCGCACGTGACACCTTAAGCCCACAACCCCAAATCCCTCATACCCCACGCAGAGTCATCAAGTTATGGCTGGCGTGCACTCATCATCAGCTTGGTTGCGTGCGCGCCTTGGTTAGGCGGTTAGGCAAGCGAAGGGAATGGGTAACGCGAGTTTGGGCTTGGGGTTTTGGTGGTGGGCGTGGGGGCATTGGTGTCGAGACAATCTGTGGCCTAGCATGGCTTATAAATGATGCACAGGCTGGGTTCAGACGTGCGCCCACAACCAGACGTACAGACAGCACCATGCTACCCCGACCCAAGTCCCCCACGCACCCGCGCCCACACTTACACCCACACACACACAGACATAACTTTTAAGTTCGAGACTTCAACGCCCCGTTTGTCAGGCTGTAATTCAACGCTGTTTACGTGTTCCTCGCCCCTCTCCGTCAACCATCCACATCCGGCGTGCGCAGCAAGTTGTCTGTGTTGCCGGCGCCATCGCCTGGCTGGGTGGCTCTATGGGTGTGTGGGTGTGTGTGTGGGCGGGTGGGCTATACTACTTAAGCGTGCGACAACAACAACAAGGAAACGTCCATCTGTCGGCGCAGGCACGGAGTCATGCGAAAATGTTTGTCTGCCGATGTATGTGTGTGTGTGAGTGTGCCTTGTATAAGCACAACACGCGCACACACACACACACACGCGCACACACACAAACACAGCTGCATAAGGATAACCAAACTCCCTGCCGTTAGTCAAGTCGCAGTCGCACAGTCAAGTGGAACTCCAAATGCGTCAAGTGAGCGCAGCGCGATATGCGTCCTTACTCCTTAAATCCCACCAACCTCCTCCTCCCGCCAGCGCTCTCTCTTACCGCCAGCCACTTGTCGCCCTTATCGTGCACCCGCACGAAACAGTAGCAAACTTTGCTACAGACATCCTGTGGCGAATTATGGTGCTTTTTTGATTTAAGCCCGGTACGGTGCGGCTCTATACTGTCCTCCTCCGGAGCAGTCAAGTGAACCACTTTACTAGTTGCCAGCGTTTCGCAGCTTTTCCAACTATGTATGTTTAGTGGTTTGTTGGTATGATGGATATAACGGCTTCTTAAACCAACACGTTCATTTTAATTTGTTTTTAATTTATCCTAACATTTATCAAAGTAATATTATTAAATGTAGTTTGGCCGAAACTAGTTCCTTTATTTCGGTTATTTTAGTCGTTTTTTTTTTTGGTACAAGATCAGTAAAAAGAACTGAAAAATAACCGACTCGGACTCCAACATAGATGTTTTTATTAACATTGCGATTCGCCCGCACTTCAATATGCATATGTAGGTATATGTATATACTAGAGGTAATTTCTTTTTAATATTAGGTCATTTTTAGTGTTTTTTTTTGCGTGAAAAGGCGAACGAACCGGTTCATACCTAACTGTACATGTGATCACTTGCATCGCGTAGTGTTCAATTCATTGGCTTCTAAACTGTAGTATTTATGAACCAGTTCGGAAATGCCAACAAAAGTCGCACAGCCAGCGCAATTAAGCACATATTTTAGTTCTCTGATCCGATCTCTACATAACCGCCCTCAAATATTCTGTATGCGAATTTTATGCAAAAAAAAAAAATCGTTATAGGGCTGCCTAGACACAGATGTTACCCACACGGCGCCGTCAGCTTTGAATTCAACTTAGTCAGCCACAAAACAAAAACAGGAAGAGGTGGATGCGGGCTGGGGGACGCCGGCGGTTGGGTTAAACAAGGAGCGGGGTGCGATGACAGCAACGCACCCGGGCTCACCCAAACGGTATGTAAGAAAAAGTAAAACGGGTCGCTTAAAAATGGCGCAGTTCGCGTTGGTGCGGGCAGCATAAACAAAATGACATAAACAGGCAACGTGAGTGGGCGGGGCGGTGCGGGTCGGTTGGTTTGCTAGGTGTCGAGTCCTTGCACGAGCGTGCAAATCCCAAGCACAGGGCACAAAACAACAAAAGTAAACTTGTGAAAAAAACGTACAAATAAAATCCACATCCACACGACGCAAATTGTATTTTTCCTTTCTTTTTTTTCTATTCTTTTTTTTTTTTTTTTGGTTTTGTTTTGTGCTGTGTCCATGTCCGTACGTTGTCCTACGTCCGTTCCAATTGCTGGCAACAACTGGCGGTCGCTGCCGTCACGCATCAAGCATTCATGCCAGGCAACAACAACAACAGTAGGCGCCCTGCCAGTGTGCGCGCACACACACACCCACACACAGAGCTTACACGCCTCCGCACGCGTCACACGAAAGCACGAAACCAATTTGAGCGCCCACATTCTCTCTCACCCAATTAGTCGCACAGACACACAGACACACACACTCGCACGCACGCTCAGACACACAAACACAAGCACGCAGCCCACTCTCCTTCTGCGTTTTGCCATCCACATCAGCCATCGTTGGCGTTCGCTTCGTGTCGTTATCCTCGCGCGCACGCTGCTGCACACTTTTTGTTGTTATTGTTGTTGTTTTTGTTGCTGTTGTTGCCCTTTTGCCATCATCAACGCCATCAGTAGCGTAAGTTGTGCTGCCAGCGAGCCTTGACACAGCGGGGGCGAAGGGGCGCACAGCCGCAAAAACGGCAACAACAACTACTTCAGTATGCCAGCCTGTATGTGTGTGTATGTATTTGCCAACGTTGCCGACCAACAAGCGACACGATAATCTCGCACGTCGCATTTTTAGTTGCCGCACCCACCGCACCCGGCACGAACACAGTCATGGTCCTGGCAGAAAGCCAAATGTGGCAAGTAGCTGCTGCCTGCGTTGCGCCAGTCGAGCATGTGGGGGCGGCCAGGTCTGGGGTTATGGGGTCGCCAGTTTGCCAGTGAGTGCGCCAGACGTTGGCCGGGGCGTCAGCGGCGGCAGAGCTACCGACAAATGCTTTCGAATTGCCATGACAATCAAAATGCTTACAGGTACAGTGTGGCCAGACGTTAAATAAAATATATTTTATTTGCTTAAATGTATGGTATATACCAGACGAATACTAATTAGTCTCATATTAATCTCATATATGCGCGTGTATAATTCGGCTGGCGACAACGGAATAATTTTAAACAAATTCTCAATTTTTAGCGCTCTTTCGACCACTGTGCTGGCGACACAAGTGCGACAATATCAACAAGCGTAGCTGCTGCCAGAGCTTGAGCCTGACGACGCCCATCAGACACACTTCAGCTCTGGCTGTCATTTCGCTTGCTCGTGTTTGTGTGTCTGTTTATTATCGCCAGTGCGACACCCTGTCCAGCCCCACCCCCCACAACGACATGCTCGACCCCTCAAGCAAACAGAACTTTGTCGTTCGCAACGTACAGTGGTACGTTTAACGAAAAAATATTCGAATTATTTTTTTAATAATAAAATAAATAAAATTAAATCAAATAAAGGAGAAAAACTCTTTGAAATATGTATAATTCACAATTCCGGCATTTGGTTTTTAAAATTTTTTTCTAGTTTCCCATAGAGTCTTGAACTCTACTCAAATTAAATTGTGTACCACTGTGCTAGCCCGTAACATTGCTAGTCAAAAGCTGCCGCCGCCAAAGACAAATAAAAAAAAATTCTATGGCACGGCACGGAAGCATGTTGGCGCTGGCGGCATTTGGGACGCATAACGACGTCGATGACTGCCCTTCTCGGCGTCGTCGTCCTGTATCCTTGCCGTGCTGTGCCATGTCGCGTCGCGACGCGCCGCATTGAGTCGCGTTGCCATTTCTACCCACCGCACCGCACTTTTGAAGTTTGAGCTAAGTGACATGCTGTTTATTGTTGAAGGGTGTTAGAATTGCGCTCGGCGCGTACATACCAGTTGATTTGTGGAGCGAGAAATTATCATGCCAAGCTTGAACACCGCACGCGCCCGTTGCCCGTTTACACGGCAAGCAAATATTTACATCTAGCCACGGCTCGCAGCCGTGGCCAATTAAGTCAAACAACAATCGTAAATTCCATCGATTGGGGCTACCATAACTAACTTCATGGGGGTGAGGGTTTATTCATTATGTTGAAGTGAACTTTATGAGATTTTCTATATCATATATTTCTATCCTTAAATACAACACTTTCATATTATTCACAAAATACTGTTTAAAGCAGAGCTTCATAGTTTAAAATACATCAAAATGTTCAAAATATAATAAACTCGATCTCAACTCAAAACAAAGTAGAAATTTGCAGACGACTAATAAATTTAAGTGAAGTTGGGTAAAAAAGGATAATAAGATATGGTATAACAGGAAAATGTTTACATTCTTAGCACTGGTTTTTCATAAAGTAGAAATGTGTGCTGAAAATATGACAAAGGATCACAGAGTCTTTAAGAAGCCAAATGTAATTTAAAATTTTTATA